TTGGATCAATATTCAATACACATGTAAATGTATGTGTGTGTCTGTTATCCAACAGTAAAAATTGATCAAATGGTAAAAAACTCGATGACAAGTTGACTTGACTCGAATTCACAAATGTCAAGTCCCCAAGGCCTCAATGTAAGGGCGCCTTCCCATAAAAACTAAAAATTGACTGTTTTCCTTCAAAAGGTGTTGAGGAAAAACCGAGCTACCGGATAGAAAATAACCAAGCCAGCATGCAAAATTGTAAGCCGACAAGCAACAAAGATATGCTCCAAAGAAAATCTACGGGTCACATCAAAACTCCTGGCCAAACAGCATGAAACTTTCACAGCACGAGATGATGTAATTCAAAGGCCAGCAAAGAACAATTTTAAGTAGTAAAAAACGTGTTCAACACAAGTCCTTATAGTTCCTTAAGAACAATAAACTTCAACAAAGTGAACCAGAAAGTAATGCATATCTCCAAGTTGCAGAATCATCCGTAACTTTTTCAAAATGAAAAACCCTAACCTGGTCTTCATTTTGACACCCATGGTAATTATATGCATTATAATAAATAACTAGTGCGTGGCCCGTGCAATGCACGGGAAAACAATATTACGATTGTATTATAAATTAAATATATAAATAACATTAATCATATATATGTATTGTTTTTACATTAAACTGGGTTAGACACAGTCCGACCGAATGGACGGAGAACCGATTTATAACAAGTCTAGTCCGCTCGAATAAGATATTTGCTTTTGAATCCGTCAATACCAGTCGGTTGGATTTGTAGGATCGACACGATTTTTCAAATAAATTTTATTATATTTAAAATTATTTTAAATAAAATTACATATTAAATAAAATAGAGATTTATAAATTATTTATCAATTAGTTTAAACATTTGAATTTATAAATTTATTAAATATCTAAGTAACACATTTTGTTTAAATTTATTACAAAAAATACTATATATATATATATATTTTAAAATGTTTATAAATTAAAATCTGAACAAACCACAAATGATTTAATAAAATAGCTTGATCGTTTCGATGACGGTCCAGTTCTGAGAACCTTATATTTAATGTACATTAATAAATATTATAATAAAACATTTTTTTATTCACATAAATATTAATAAAATGATATTTAAATATTCATAAATCATTAAACATGTTGTCATAAAACTATTGTTAATACGATTATTTGAAATTTGGACTATATATATCACATTCACGTAATAAAATATTTTCAATATAAAATTTATATTTAGGTTCAATAATCGATTTGGTGTGATCGAACTGATTCATAACTTAGTCACCTGGGACCAACCAAGTTGTGTCAAGTTTTTTGACTATTTTAAATATCATCTAAAAGTAATTCCTGGGCAGTACCCTAATGCAATTACCTGATTGATCCGAAGAAAATTTCCTATTTTCTTTAAATATATTTAATTTTATGAAATAAAAATATTTTATGATTCATATAATAAATGTCTACACCAAATGAATGATAGTATATTAAGATTATAAATTATATATCTTAAGATGAATTAATTATTTTTATTTTATACATATTAATAAAAAATAAACATAGTAATTTTCAAAAAATTAAGATTAATTGATTGATTATGCAATTTAAAGAATATTTTTAGCGTTCAATTTTTCTTAAAGGCACAAATATAAAGACCGAGATTCTAAAACTTTTGTTATATTTTGAATTGAGATTTTATAAATATAGAGACCGAGATTTTAATTTTGTTCGTTGTTTCTAAGAAAAAAATAAAAATAAAAACATACAACTTAATAAATTTTAGCCGGATTTTTTAAATAATAAAATGAACTATAGCCCGAAATTTAAGGTAGCATTTAATGCTGTATGTTTTAAAGAAAAAATAAGAAAAATAATAATACTTACTATTTATAGATTGAATTAAATTTTGACCTATTTTTTTGCTACTATTTTTGGTAAATGTTAATTCTTATATATATATATAGATGGTAAATGTTAAAAAACATAAAAATCTTAAAATGTAGTTAAATGCACGCAAGGACATGTGCCGTCAAGTAATAATCCTGCTTAGAAAGTAGCAACAGCAACTAAGAGGATGGTACTACTTTAAACATGTGATCGAATCTTATTTTATATAGCACAGTTTTTGAGCTCCATAGGTACTCAATTAAACCCATGAAGCCTTCGATATGTGCTTGTTTAAGTGGTTTTCCATCACCAATGTTGCTAAAACATCGTTATAGACTTATAGTCAGTGAACTCGATTCAAATCACTTACAATTCAAGAACTATAAAACAGCCTATAAGCATATTCTCATTTCTTAAGGAGCAAAAGGAAAGAAAGGGAGAAATCAAATGTGCCTTATCAAACTTCTTGACGTTAATTTACAACTAATTCAACCATCCCCTCATCACTATTTTTTCTGTTTCCAAACTGAAAAGCCCCGATTCATCAAATAATGCGCACAATATCATTCCTGATTTCCTATCATTCCCATAGCCAAACGAATAGCAAGCTTTAGCTCTGCCTTTATCACTCAATGGCTACCGTCAGGCAAAATCTCATATCTAAAAAATACAGTCACAACTTTCAATTTCAAACCAATAAGAAGGCACGAAAGTATGTGAACTCATAAAAGAACATTCTTAACAGGCTCAAATGTGCCTTATCGAATCTCTTGACATTAGTTTACAACTAATTCAACCATCCCCTCATCACTATTTATGTTTTCCAAACAGAAAATACTCAATTCATCAAATAATGCGCACAATATCATTCCTAATTTCCTATAATTTCCAGAATCAAGCGAATGGCAAGCTTTAGCTCAACCTTTATCACTCAATGGCAACACCGTCAGGCGAAATCTCATATCTAAAAAATACAGTCACAACTTCAATTTCAAACCGATAAGAAGGCACGAAAGTATGTGAACTCATAAAAGAACAATCTTAACAGGCTCAAATGTGCCTTATCGAATCTCTTGACATTAGTTTACAACTAATNCATATTTAGTATAAAATGTACATCCATTAGCAAGATGAAGTTTTGAAACCTTTCAGCATTAAATTATACAAAGATACAGAACTCTCCCATCATTCTCCCCTATCTTTATTCCCAATCCAAGTTAACAAGTTCGACAAAAGAAACTGCTCTTTCACCACCAAGTTTGTCAGAGATAAAAAAATCATCAAAATATGACCAACCAACAAAAAAAATAAAAAATAATAACAAGTAAAATCACACACCCATCTTGAAAAGATTGCGCTTTGCAAGAAATCTCGCCACAGGGGGTGTAAGCGCAAGTGTGATCGGAACCCTAACCGGAAAAAGTGCCTTATTAATCAGCACCGCCAAAGCCAAAGCGCCGCCGCTCGACAACGCCGGCTCCGCCGTCCGGTTCCTCTCCTCCTCCACCGTCCGATCAATCGTAGTTTCCAGATTAACCGGATGCAGATCGGAGATTTTTGAGCCCTTATCCTTAGCGAAGCTAGGCAGGCCAACCTTTTCGAGCATCGAGTCAACATCGACGTTGCTTTTAACGGCGGCGTAAAGGCCGGCGATCGAGGCCGCCGAGACGGATAAATGTACGCCCAATCCTACTTTGCCGTACTTTTTTAGAAGCTCTTTGAACCTTCCGGCGAACATTTTCCCTCATAAATCTGCCGTCGATGTATGTACCAGTTGGGATAGAGTGAATGAGAGCTGGGGTTTTGCAGATAGGGTTTTTGAATATTGAGACAGCAATTTTATCTTGTCTTGTGTAAGGGGAGACCGGGTCATGGGCTCATTGTGGACACGAGTTATGGGCTTTTACCTTCATATATTTGGGCCTAAAAATTTTACTATTTTGAAAATTTTTAAAAAATAGAATGAAGGTTATGAATAAAATATATTTCAGCTTTTAAATATTTTAACTGATTTTTAAATCATTAAATCCTAAGCCTCGAAATAATAATTAATCATTTTTTCGCGTCCCAAACTCATATAAACTGAATTATAAGCTAGTGATAAAGAACAATCATGGGAGAGGAACTGCTGTGCCAGATTAAGGTATTATATATTTATATCCATGTTTTGATGCTTAACTTTTGTATGAAGATGTAACAATATAATCACACATCTCGGTCACACAGACATGCATTTTGAGCTATATATATAGCCAAGATCCAAAAGCCAACAACTTGAATTTGATGCTTCAAGAGCCTCATCTTAGTGTATTGCCAATAATGACTAATTATTGCAACCTTAACCACGAACATCCACAAGATTATTTTCCTTCCCTTTGCTTTTTTGTATGCACTTACAATATATTGCAACCTTTTTGATCCTTTTTCTTCTTTCTCTTCTTTTGCTTCGTAGGCTGCAGAACAACCTTTATTGCCGCATCAAAGACAGCCTTCACATTCTGCGAGTTTTGGAAAAAAACACCGTGATAAGATAGTATCGNTCAAGGTAAGCAGCTGCTCCAATCAACTTCTTCAATTCCTCTCCCTTCAGAGAAAGACGAAGTGCAAAAGAAAAGAAAAGTTAGGAGGGCATATAAATAAATATCAAAATACAGGAGATGGGGTAAATTGGTTTAACAATCATTTCGATGGCCTGTAAGGAGGCGTATACCTGGCCAGTCGTGATGGGTACAGCTCCAGGATGATCTGAGAAGAACTGTTTATCCTCCCGAAGATCTGAAAAGAATTAAAATATGGTTTATTCAAGCTATAGAACTTCAAAACAAAGTCAAGATGAACATGGAGAAAAAGGGAAAAAGAATTGATATCATTCACTTTCTTCATTTTTTCGGGCTGTCGATTGTCTCTGTGATGGAGACGAGTTTGCTTTGGCATATTTGGATAAATTTGATCGTCTTCGGATTTAGTTCACTATTTCTTTTATTTTTCCTTTCCTTTTATTATGCTATTTCCTTATTTATTATTTTAGACTAGGTAAGTAAATAATGTCCTTGCAGTTGTTTGGCAAGTTGGAACTCTCTTTTCTATTTATTATCTCGTCTTAGATGTGAATGCACGATTAGAAAGTTTATGAAATTATCTGGTGTTCTATTTTCACGAGAGAGTATCTCGATCTTCCCTGTTTTCGTATCACGTTCTACATCAGTTGGTTTCCAGAGACCAGCAACGATCCGCGATGCCGCCTAAGAGAGCTCAAGCTGTAAACGATAACGCCATTGAGGAGCAATTCCAGCGGATGGATGATCGCTTTGATGCGATGGACGAAAAATTTACGGATCTCTCATCCGGAATGGTGGATTTGCGGGAGGCGATGCGGACTATGATGGACGAGATCCGTACGAATCGCGCTGCCGGCGACCGGGGCACGCGTGGAGGGGCTCGCAGAGGACGTGGTGGACGCGGATTTGGTGGGGCGCCCCACCAACGGTCACCACAGACTTCGTCCGGCGACGACGCGGACGAGGAGACCATTAGTGTGGACAACCCGTTCGCGAACGAGCGGCGCCGTCGACCTGCGGGAGACGATGGTTTCGTTCACGAGAGACAGGACGATTGGCAGACACACCGAGGGTTTGACGTTGGTGGCCATGGTCGCCGCGACGGTCGGGTGTTTCGCCGGGGCTGGGATGATGGTTTTGACGGTGATCGGAGTTTCGACGAGGGTTTTGGAGGCGACTGTGACGACGAAGATGAGGGCGGACAGTGGCGTGCCTGGGGGCGGGGCGCCGATGTTCCGCGGCGTCGTCAGGGTTTCGTTGAGGGTGTCGGCGGTGAGCGTTGGGGTCGGGACCGACGTGACGGCAGGTGCCGATAGAAGGGGGCGATGGGTCACGCTGGGACCAAGGATTTCGTGTGGACTTACCGGAGTTTGCGGGCGGCACGGATGCAGCGGTCGAGGCCTTTCTCCGATTTAAGGATGTTCCGGAAGAAAAACGAGTGGATTTGGTAGCTACAAGGTTTCGTGGTCGTGCAGCGGTGTGGTGGATGCAATTAACCGGTCTGCGGCATCGTCAGTGCAAACCGAGCATAACTTCTTGGATGAAGTTTCGGGAACTGGTAGAACGTGAATTTGTCCCATTCAATTTCGATAGAATTGTGTATCAGCAACTCCAAAATTTACGTCAACGCGCACGTTCGGTTGACGATTACACTAATGACTTTTATCGTCTATTGACCCGTGTTGAGTTGCGCGAAGCGAAAAATCAGTTGGTGTCTGGCTATGTGGGTGGACTTCGTATGGGCATACGTGACACGTTGAATCATTTTCGCCCGGAGACGGTCTCGGATGCTCATCAACGGGCACTACTTGTTGAGTCTCAGCTGGCACAAAAATCGGGACCCTCGTTTGGTTCTACGTCGCGGCAGGGCACGGCGTTCGTGACAGGTGGTCAGTCCGTGCGTGGGCCTCCGGTGGTGAGCAGCGGCGTGGGTCAGGGGGCTGGACCGATTCGGTTTTCGCCTTCAAATGGGTCGCAACCGCGACTGGGCGGGACCGCAGGCCCACAAGTGGCGTCGGCTGGAACACAGGCGGTGTCCAGGTTAAGGTGTTTTGGTTGCGGGGAGGTGGGACATCATCAGGCGGTTTGTCCCCGGAATGCTAATACTCGTGCATTGTTTTCGGAGGACGTCCACGACGGTGTGGCTGAGGAAGGTTATGAGGGGCCGCCAGTCTTCGATGTCGAGCCAGGGGAGACGGAGGAGTATGTCACCGTTGACGTGGGCACGGCTCTGGTTATTCGGCGAGCATGTCTAGCGCCGAAGGGTTCTGTTGACTCGGAGAGGAACCATCTTTTTTAGTCGACTTGCACGGTCGGCAACAAGGTATGTCGTTTCATTATTGATTCTGGCTCGTGTGAGAATGTTATTGCACAGGAGGCAGTGTAAGTTACAGTTATCGTGTGAGCCTCATCCACATCCTTATAAGCTCGCGTGGATCCAGAAGGGTAAGGCGGTTACCGTTGACCGTTGAGCCCTTGTCTCTTTTTCCATTGGCCCCACTTATCGTGATCAGGTTTGGTGTGATGTCGTTCCAATGGACGCATGCCATTTGCTTTTGGGGCGCCCGTGGCAGTTTGATCGTGCAGCTACACACGATGGTCGCCTCAACCGGTACTCATTTCTTTTTGGCGGGGTCCGTATTATTTTATTGCCCAGGCTAGCCCGACGCCTTTACCGGGTTCGCCGTCCACGGTCGGCATTTTTGTCCGCCATGCGGTCTTCCTCCTTCGTGCTGTTGCTAGTCGGCGCGGATGTAGCGGGTGAACAGGAGCCTCCAGCGGCAATCCAGCCGCTACTCTTGGAGTTCAGTGACGTATTCCCGGTTGATCTTCCTTCGGGTCTTCCGCCTCTACGGGACATACAACATCATATTGATTTGGTCCCGGGAGCTTCATTACCAAATAGGCCTCATTACCGTATGAGTCCAACGGAGCACGAAGAATTGCGACGGCAAGTGGAGGAGCTTCTCCAACGGGGAGTCGTGCGCCGGAATCTGAGTCCGTGTGCGGTGCCGGCTCTCCTCATTCCAAAGAAAGATAGTACCTGGCGTATGTGTGTTGACAGTCGTGCCATCAACAAGATCACCGTCCGTTACCGGTTCCCGATTCCTCGCCTCGATGACCTATTGGACCAGTTGCACGGTGCTTCTGTTTTCACCAAGCTCGACCTCCGTAGCGGGTATCACCAAATTCGGATTCGGCCCGCCCGAGTGGAAGACTGCTTTTAAGATCCGGGAGGGCTTATTCTAATGGATGGTGATGTCGTTCGGGCTGTCGAATGCCCCTAGCACGTTCATGCGTGTTATGAACCAGGCCTTACGTGACTTTATCGGTAAGAGTGTCGTCGTTTATTTCGACGATATTCTTATCTACAGCCGGTTTATGGAGGAACACTTGCAGCATGTTCGAGAGGTCTTATTGGTGCTACGTGCCGAGTCCTTTTTTGCCGCATCACGTAAGTGTGTTTTTTTGGTTGATTCCGTTATGTTTTAGGGGTTTATTATTTCTGCCGACGGTATTCGGGTGGATGACAGTAAAGTGGCGGCTATTCGGGACTGGCAACCCCCACTTCATTCACGGAGGTGCGCAGCTTCCACGGGCTCGCCTCTTTCTACCGTCGTTTTATATCGCATTTTAGTACTCTTACAGCCCTGATTACTGATTGCTTGCATGGCAAGGCCTTTTTGTGGACCCCGCAGGCTGAAGAGGCTTTTGCCCTTATAAAGGGTAAGTTGACGACCGCATCGGTGCTCATGTTACCGGATTTTTCGAAGGCGTTTGAGTTGTCCTGTGATGCTTCAAAGGTGGGGATTGGCGCTGTCATTAGCCAGGACGGTCGGCCGGTCTCATTCTTTAGTGAAAAATTATCCGGGCCGCGTTCACGTTACAGTACATATGACGTGGAGTTTTATGCTGTGGTCCGGGCTGTCCATCATTGGAGGCACTATCTATTTCACCGGGAGTTTATTCTTTACACGGACCATGAGGCTTTGCGTCATTTGGCATCTCAGGACAATATATCGGCCCGTCATACCTCTTGGACTGCTTTTCTGCAGCAGTTTACTTTTGTGCTTTGTCACCGGTTGGGAGTGTCGAACAAAGTGGTGGATGCTTTGAGTCGCAAGAGTTTACTTTTGTGCTTCGTCACCGATCGGGAGTGTCGAACAGAGTGGCGGATGCTTTGAGTCACCGGGCCCTCTTATTGACAGATATGCAGGTGTCGGTTCTCGGTTTTGATTCCTTACGGGAGCAGTATGCGGCGGACGTCTTTTTTGGGCCTATTGTCCACCGCCTCACACACGGCCCGGTGGATGACTATGTCCTCTCGGACAGATTTCTTTTTCGTGGGACCCGCCTCTGTATTCCGGAGGGTAGCCTGCGGCACAAGCTAGTTGCCAACTTACACGGCGCTGGGCATGTGGGCCGGGACCGCTCGGTGGAGCTGGTCGGCCGGCGCTACTTTTGGCCGTCACTGCGCCGCGATGTGGCCCGTTATGTGGAACGATGTCGGGTGTGTCATGTCTCGAAGGGTGTTGCTTCGAATGCCGGGCTATATAGGCCCCTTCTTATTCCTTCACGGCCTTGGTGTGCGGTTAGTATGGATTTCGTGTTGGGGTTACCTAGGACTCAACGCGGATTTGATTCTATCTTTGTGGTCGTCAATCGGTTCTAGAAGATGGTGCACTTTGTGCCGTGCAAGCGCACAACAAATGCGGTACATGTCGCTCAGCTGTTCTTCCGGGAGATTTACCGTTTGCATGGACTTCCGTCCTCCATTGTTTTGGATCGCGATACCCGATTTTTGAGTCATTTTTGGCGTAGCCTGTGGCGCATGGCGAACACTCAGTTGAACTTCAGCAGCGCGTATCATCCTCAGACTGATGGACAGACGGAGGTAGTGAACCGTTCGTTGGGCAATTTACTTCGTTGCTTGGTGGGTGACAACCTTCGTAGTTGGGACCAGCGGCTGAGCCAGGCTGAGTTTGCACATAACTCGGCGGTGAGTCGGGCTACTGGCTGTCACCTTTTACGCGGCAGTCGGACCTACTCACGATCCCTTCCGCGACGGACGATCGCCGAGCTGCTGAGTTCGTCACGGACTTGCGGGCCACGCATTACACCGTTCGGGCACGCTTGGAGGCTACTACCGCGGCGTAGCGTCGGGCGAACATCCGGCGGCGCCACGTTGAGTTCGAAGTTGGCGATTTTGTTTGGGCGGTTCTCACCAAAGACCGCTTCACGGCTCATGAGTTCAACAAGTTGTCGGCTCGGAAGATTGGCCCGGTGGAGATTGTGGAGAAGATTAATCCCAATGCATATCGCCTTCGCCTGCCCTCCCATCTTCGCACTTCGGACGTTTTTAACGTCAAACACTTGGTGCCGTTTGCAGGTGACCATTCCGACGAAGACGAGGTTGCTTCGGATTCGCGGCCGAATCCTTCTCAACCGGGGGAGGATGATGGAGACGAGTTTGCTTTGACATACTTAGATAAATTTGATCGTCTTTGGATTTTGTTCACTATTTCTTTTATTTTCCCTTTCCTTTTATTATGCTATTTCTTATTTATTATTTTAGACTAGGTAAGTAAATAATGTCCTTGCAAATGTTTGGCAAGTTGGGACTCTCTTTTCTATTTATTATCTCGTCTTAGACGTGAATGCACGATTAGAAAGTTTATGAAATTATCTGGTGTTCTATTTTCACGAGAGAGTATCTCGATCTTCCCTGTTTTCGTATCACGTTCTACATCACTCTGATACTGGACAATGTGTATTATGATTGAATATACCTCAGGAGAGTAAGATACCGGCTATGACTCGTGCAAAAATTTAAGAAGGAAAAAATCACAAAGCATTAAAAAATCGTTTCGCTGATATTTTCTTAGGCTATGTTTGGTAAAACTAGTTGAAACTACCTGATAGCTGATAAGCTAGCTTATAACTTATAAGTGATTTTCAAGCTAGTAGCTTATAGCTTATGACTTATAATTGAAAAGCTAGCTGATAAAAGTGTTTGATAAAATTAAAATAAAAATTTCAACGAGCATATTTGAAAAGCTACCCAAAGAAGCTTATGAGATAAGCTCGAGCTTTTAAAAAAACTCGTCCTAGCAAACGATTTGTTATTTGAAAACATGAAGCTTATAAGCTAACTTATTTGTCTACCAAACATAGCTTTAATGTCTAAACCTGAAGACAACCAAGCAGTAATGTCATATAAGTCTCACTATGATATGCTATCTTATAAGATGAAGAATTTGAAATCAGTGCACTGGTAGAAAAAGACATAAAAAGGTCCTAACCAAGCTTTGTTCCCACAAGAATAATCGGAACTCCAGGAGCATAATGCCTTAGCTCAGGGATCCACTGCAAATTAAAAGAAAAAACACCAAAATAATCATCACAATTCACAACCATGCAATCTGGAACTTCAGAAGGATCATTAAGCTGGAGTTTTTACAATCATCAGCTCTTTTATAGATTGAAAAATGATGCAAAGGTAACAAGCAAAAACTAAGAAAGCTTTAGGTGTCATTTTTTCATTCCCTTTTATTTTTTCCTACCTCTTACTTTCTTACAGATGTTTAATCAAATAATGTTTAATCAAATAAATCTGAAAATACAAACAGGTGATATATTCATTATTAAGGGTAAAGGCAGACTCACCTTCTTGGAGACATTCTCATAGCTGGCCTTGCTAATCAGAGAGAATGCTAGTATAAAAACATCAGCCCCACGATAGCTTAATGGTCTCAGTCTGTTGTAATCTTCCTGACCTGCTCGATGAAAAGTGAGTTGTTGGTAGCATTCTTGGCTGGATAATGAAAAACGAAAGAAAACAAATCTCAGAACAACTAATTTTACCAGCAGTGTCCCACAATCCTAGGTTTACAGTACTACCATCTACCACAACATTGGCACTGAAATTGTCAAACACAGTTGGGACATAATCCTGTTTATGTTACAGGCCAAAAGTTCGGTTAGAAAAAAAAAAAAAAAAAAAAAAAAAAATGGCATACAGCATGAAATACCGTCAGTTGCAAAAACTATAAACGAATAAATCGCACATGAGTTGAGACGAATTATTTTTTAAAGTAGTGAACAGGAAAACCAGATAAATCACGCATAACGGTATTGCTTGATCATGCCGAGTAGTGAATGGCACACCAAGACAAATAGAACTCATCCAATAGGAATTAGGAAAAGAGATTTTCAGTTCTGAGATATGCTGAAAATCAAGGAACTATCATCAGCATTCATTTGTTTTTTATTGAAACTGACTTCTAGATCAAAAATCGGTAAAGGTGAGTTCTAATACCGCCATAAGTTGAAATAAACACTTATATCTTTATCACAAGATAAAACTAATTGACGAAACTTCACCAAAACATTTCTTAAAGAAACCCAAACTACAACAAAGAAGAAAAATTACGCATCAATTGCAGGGACAGTTCTACTTTCTCACTCACAGAGAAGACAGAATTACACATTTTATTTCTTTTTTAAATATGAAAACAGAAAAGGAAAATAAATTGAGGGAAAAACTTACAGTGGGGAAGGTGTTGCTAGTGTAGGAAATTAGCAAACAAGTTTTACCCACAGCACCATCGCCGACGGTGACGCACTTTATAAATCTCGAAGCGCTCATCTCGCCGCCGCCGACGGCTACTCTCCGGCTGGCAAACTGTTTAACTCAGCTACACTATCTTCAATGTCGGCTCTACACAATCCGAGCTTACAATTCTCACCTCTTTCGCTATCACCCAATACAAACGCTCATCTGCAGGATTAAATAGGATAAATAAAGCGGAAAGTAAGAACTCACACAAAAAGCACAAAATCAAAATTCAACAGTATTCCATGAAAACCCCACCATCACCACACAACTAATCCAACAACCCCAATCACAATTCGTCAAATTCCACACGCACAAAAACCAGAAAGTGAGTGCAGAGTAGAAAGAGGAGTGATGGTGATTTAGAGAGGAGCGTCTTTTATAGAGACAAAAGGAGCTGTATTTAAATAACAGGATTTTATTTCAAGTGCCTCTTAATTTGCCAAATATATATATACAAAATTCTTCCTTTTTTTTTCTTTTTTTTTTTTCCCTTTTGAAGAAATTTATCCCTAAATTAAAATAATGACTGATCATGATAATTAGTATTTTCAATTTAAATCGATAAAGTCATTGTTAGACAAACATGACAATAAAGGCAACCATGTTTTTTCAACATATATATACATATTTGTTAAATATGAATGTCATGTGTTAAAGATTAAAACAAACAAAATTATGGTATTTAATTATATATTTTTGTAATATATATAGCGGGTCGACACGTCTAAAGATTTGATCGTCTAGCACAATAATTTGTGCAGATATTATGATTAAGGATTTTATAGTTATTTTTATTTTCTACTAAGGCTTGTATAATTAATTTTGTCTTTGTGAGGAGTGTCTTTAATTTTACCATTATTTTTTTTTTCTTTGAACATCATGAATTAAAATTGTGTGTGACAACTCTTAGCGAATAATTTTTACAATTTAATTAAAAATCCAGAAAATAATGTAAAGTGCTTTATCTTAGTGTCAATAAACGTCTAAGTCAAGTCTTATTATTGTCCGAATTAGATGTGATGGGGCTGCACAGCGAGCTTTATAACTAATTTCAGCTCCTTTTAGTATTATTATTCATGCAATATTAAATGCTTTTTTCGATTGATTCAACTGCACACTAAATTACAGAATTGAAATAGGCCACAATATTTTCAGTATGCCTATTACTCATTTTTAATTTCATTGAAAATAAAATAGCAAATCCTCAAAATACAATTTTTCCTTTCCTTTTCTTAACCATTCTTTCTTTCTTTCCTTTTGCTTCTCTAAATTCAAATTCATATCACAAATGCTACTGAGTGACGGCTGGGTAGCTTAAAAAATTATATGTATAACATGAAATGGAATCATGTATTTGTATTTTGAAGTATTACATTAGAAAATAAAAATATATGCATATATTTGGTCAAATCGAACATTAAAACTTGTGATAATTAATGGAAAAAAGTTTTTTTTTATAAAAAAAAAAAAATAAAATTGTAGGTAACAATTATCAATGACATTATCCATTGGCTGTGATTATGAATTTAAAGTACGGGAATTGAGAAAGCCCTAAATAACCTTGTGAAATGCCCTTTATTTATTTACTAGTACAGAGTTCGTGCAATGCACGGGGTGCACAATTTTAAGTCTATTTATCCAGACTTATAATTATATATATGAATAAAAAAAATATACGGGATATATATAGTACATGAGATATATTTATTTGGAGAATATTATATTATAAGATGCAATATTCAATAAAAGTTTATAATACGCAAGAAAATTATTCAATAAAAGTTTTATAATATTCAAGTGGAGTCTTAAAGTCTCTTATACATTAAGACTACTGACAAAATAATATTTTAATCAATGAGTTTCCTTTCCTTGTAGCCAAATTGTGAATGTGATTTGAGGAATACAACAAATCGATATATAGCCGACTTGCTTTTTTCATTGTAGTTTTTTTTTTATAATGAATTTAAAGATATTCTAAAATATAACAAAAATTAATTTTTTTACAATTAGGAAATTTACTAAATATAAACTCTCAATCTATGGTGTTAATCAACGTTTAAGTCTAAAAAATTAGGAATTTTTACCTCTTTTAATCAACGTTTAAGTCTAAAAAACAATAGAGTTACTATAAGTTTTTTTCTACATCTTTTAAAATATTAAATATGAGCATGTTAAGGCTAGCTTGTAAAATAATTAATATATTATCTCACTAAAACATTTATACTAATAAAAATTTAATTTTAGCATATAAATTTATTCCTTGATATAAGAGAAAGTAACAGTTTTACTTATTGTTGTTCACCATATAATATTTAATTATTATTTTATTATATAATAAAAAAAGAATATTGTTAAATAGTGTAGTAGAATTGTTATAAAATTATATGATTTTTTTTTTTACAATATGAATTTAATATTTTTTTATGATTTGATAATATAAACAAATCTATACTTAACTTTGACAAATAAAACAAATAAATACTTTAGTAAGTATTTAATGTATATACTAAATAGGAATATATTTGGTATAATCAAATACCAAATATAATCAAATAAGTCAAAGTGTACATTTTTATTTGGTATTTGATTTTTTTATTATTAAAATCTTTTTATTATACTTACCTTTTTAAAATAAAATAAATAAATAAATCAATTAAATAAATAAAATATTATAATACCAAAATAGTAATGACATTTAATGCAGTCGACTTTTCTGGATAATAAATGTAGTAAATGGAATATCCTTTTATATAGTATAATACGGAAATAGTAATGCAATAAATACTGTTGAATTTTCTGGCTACTTAATTTGGTAAATAGTACCCCCTTTAATATAAGTATAGATAGATATATTTTGTTGAGTTGGATCTTCTACCTTTCATTGTCACCCTTTTTAATCACTCATTTATGGTGGGATAAATTAGATACCAAAGTTGCTTTCATGATAATCAACCTACCTAATTTCCACCATTAAATTTCTCATAATTTGGGTTGGTACATTAATTATCAAACAAATGTTTTTTATTTCTTTCTTCACTCACGTGAAGATGATGTAGTAACAACATATAGTGGATAAAGGAAGATGATGTAGTAACAACATATAGTGGATAAAATTATTTTTACATAACGGATGAGATAAATAATATGTAAGTGTAGAAATTATTAATTAATGTGATGTGTTAAACCACAAGATCTTGTCACGTGTGTATTATGTTAAGTTTACATAACATTATGTTATTGTAGCATGACCTAATTAGAGCAATTTAAACACATAATCATCCAAATGAATTTGGTAAAAAAACTCGTCCAAAATTTTTAAAATTCCATAGTGTACCCAACCAACCCAGAAGGATGATACCATCCTAGTGGAGTTTGCTCGTTAGGGCGATAATTCTTGAGCTAGGGCTTTTGGACGATTTGTCATAATCCTCAAATTGAAAGAGTGTAATGTACTTTTAAATCGTGATCGAACTAAAGAAGTGCGAAGACAGAAATATGTATTCTATTAAAAAAAATAAGGCCTCTATGTAAAAAAAATAGGATTGTTATTGAACCGAACTATTCGCAAGCAGAGCTCTTTCGTGTTCGTTCATGTTCGATAACAACTCGTTCGTTTAATAATTGACCTTAGAAGAAGTTCACAAACAATCGAGCGTTCGCGAACAAAAAATAAATTATACATTTATATATTATATGTATAGTTTATCTATATACATATAAAATATATATATATGAATATATATTAAATTTAAATAAATTAACTTGTAGTAATAAAAAAAAGTCAACAAACACGATCATGAACTTGTCAAACAATTCGAACAGTTTACGAACAAGTTCGACTATATAAACAAACGAACACAAACGTGTCAAACCAATAAATAAACGAATACGAACGAAATTTTTTGTTCGATTACTGAACATATTCAAAAATTAATTGAACTCGAACTCAAAAACCTTAAACTCGATTTGGTTGGATCGCAGTCCTGGTAAAAGAAAATAAGATCCATGGACCCTCATCTCAATCCTAGCGAACTGCATCGAATAGGTTTTATAGCTCTGATTTTGAACATTCCGGAAGGTTTGAAGGGAATGTAATTACACATAAATAGAGTTTCGTATGAAAAAAGCTCAATCACAATAACAATATTAGTACTCTCATATGGAGTTGCATAAAGAATTTATTTATTAACAAATTTGAGCGTCAAGAAAATATATTCATATAAATAGAGTTTAGTATGAAAAAAAATCTTAATCACAGTAGTAATACTCTTGCAGGTATATATAAAATATTTATTCCTAGTGTATGCAAACTAATTTGAAGCCAATACAAGCAAGAAGCCAATTGCAAGGTACCATAAATTATTATATTTTTTCCATTGATAATACTGTGCTAAGGAATAATAGAACACAAATCACAAAGATTGGTTACAAGCTCCCACAGGCAATAAAAAACAGTTCAAGCAAACTTACTGTAACGATAATGCGGTTCGCCCTTAAAATTCAATTTTTAACTCCAAGAATCGTCTATATTCCGAAAGTAAAAAAGTATAGGAAAAGAAAATGGATCTGATGAGTACACAACATTATCCATAACAGTTGATTTTTGCTAACAAAGCTCTACAATTCATTGCAATTTCGAGAAAATTAGGCAAAAGTCTAAATAGTAAATCGTAACTTATCTACACGCAGGCTTCAAGTGCTCCTTGTGCAACCTTCCATCACCTAACTGACTGATAAATCATAAAATCAGATGACGGGCCATCTAATAGTGTATTAGTATTCACATAGTGAAAAAATGAGAAATGTAAAATAAGGAAATATTATGAAAAATAAACTAGGGGAAAGAAAAAAGGCAACCCCTAATATCAAAACATTTTTCGAAATTGCAATTTATTCATGATCACTTCACTTTTACAAACTATATCACAATTTTCAGTTTGTTAATTTGTGAAACTTGTGCAAATTATATCACAATTGAAGATTGTTATTTGGTCACATCATCTTTCATAGAGCTGGTTTTCAGAACCAGTGCACCCATTTGCAACCAAATGAAAATTGATATATAATTTGTAAAAGTGAATGTGGTGATTAAATTACAATTTTCAAAAATGTGGCGATATTAGGGGTCATTTTTGCCAAGAAAAAAAGTAGTCTAAAATGGGGTCTGTGAGGTAAAAAGTTAAACATGCCTGTAACGGTTGAGGTTGAGAAAGCGCACAAATGGTTCCCCATTATTAAGCTACAAATTGAACCATTCATGGGCAGAACAGAACAGAACATAAATTAATTTTACAGAAGAAGCTCGACAACTTTCAAGACAAATCAAAAGATCCCTGTCCTTCGCGGATGGCGTAAAGCAGTTTCTTGTACATAATTTCCTAGAAGATGGGGAAAACAAATTCAGCTGTCAGCACCACTAAATAAAATTTGCGGTTTACAAGAAGAAAACGCTAAATACGACCACCAAGTGACCAATGAGAATAAAAATATTTCTGAAAGACACAATATGTGGATATTGATTCTTCTATGTAGCCTACTTAATATTATTATAACATACGAATGACAAAAATTAATAGGATTTAGATTATTAAGACCAAGTTCCTTTTCTTTTTCATTTATTAACTAAGAAATTGAACTTTATTTGATTATTTTACATACATCAGTATCATTTCCTTAAATTTATTTTTGATTAAAATATTGTCGGTTCCTATTCCGCTCTCCATTTTGAGGAACTGAGAACCGGCAGTTGAGATTTGTATTTTTTTTTCCAAAAACAAAAATACGCAACAAAATTCCAATGGTGCCCTTCCCAAACCAGCCAAACCGAAGTCTGTACCTTAGATGAATATGGTGGAAGCTTCAAATAATTGGCACATGTCATCACACTAGGTAAATCATCATCAGCAGATTCCGATGGGCCAGTGCCATTATTTGCTGTGCTAGTTGTGTTTGCAGAAAGCTGTTGCAATTAGACAATTATTACAAAGAGAATTTTGCGCACATTAGCACAAAGCTGAATGACGTGTCGAAACTTTAAATGGATGAGAATATCAACATCTTTATGATGAGACAACCAAAAAAACACACCTTTCTAACAATAGTCAGCTTTGGATTGAGAACAGCCAGACCACCAGGTGGAAGCCGAGGGGCACCAGTCACAAATTGACAGAATGCACGTTGCTGCTCGGGAGTGAACTCGCACATGATCTCAAGAAGCTGATTACACAATAAATAAGGCATAAGTTGTATACGCAAGTACACAACTTGTCAACATATAATAAGTAGCTGAAAATAATTCTGGTGATGAATTTTGGTAAAAATTAAAAGACAGGTTCCCTTTTTTTATTTAAATTTACTCTACGCCATCTGTTGATGTGTATTTCAGAAGCACATTACATACATTGACTATAGCAGGACTCTTAGAAGTATATCCATGGTCGAACTTAATGTGATCTACCAGGGACTCGGCCTGCAGAAGGAAAAAAAAAGAAAAAAGAAGAAGAAGAAGGTTAAGCAATCAAAAATCAGGAATAATTTCTTTCTGGGTTCTACCAAAACAAAATATTACCTTCCACAACTCTCTACGGCCACACAACAGGTAGTCCAACTCATCGGGAGAAAAAATTTGTAGACTTGCAATGTCAAACACCTAAGAATTATAAATCCTTGGAATTAATCATAAACAATGTCTTATGTGCACGGACTTCACACAAAGCAACAGTGTCAATAACCAACTAAATCATGCCACACTGACCAAATGCTTTAGCATAAAATGGCTAGACTATTAGGTAACACTTTAGAAAACTATCTATCAATTAGTTTTGCAGTTCCACCATCAACCACACAAACCACCCACAAGCATGACACATGTAACATTCAAATATACATGAAAATCAAGTATAAGAACAAACCTGGTTGAATCCAGATCTAAATGCTTCTATTTGCCGCAAGATTCCAGTTTCTACAGTAGCATCTACCACAAAGGAAACATAATCTCCCAAATTACTTATATCCACCTGTGAATTTAAGCAAACACGCAGCGAGAAGTGAGTAAACGGGAATTTGGACATATTAAGAGAAGGATTAAAAGAGATACATAGCATACATTCTCACTGCCTGGTTTCAGGATATACTCAGGGTAGCCTGGGAGAGAGAAATCCAAACAAAGATCTTCAATTGAAGCTCCACGGAAACACAAATCCTCCAAGTTGTAACTTCCTGTTGATTCTAAATACTGTTTTCGGGACACAAGCGCTTGCAATTCTTGCAAAGTAGTACCTAGTTCTGGGTCGAAAGTAACAATATCATGCAAATCCAGCTCCTGCACAAGTAACAACACATCATTAACAATAAAAAAACAATTCAGCAGAAAAAAATCTGGTCTCCACAATTTTCCGAATGCAAATCTAAAAAAAAAAAAAGAAAAAAAGGTTACAATCTCATTGCACTTACTTGACCGAGAACAAGTTTATAAAAGGCAACCGAAAGTGGCAGATCCAGGAGCCTCCCATCCTGGAGAGCTTTAGCCATAACTCGCCCGAGCAAACGGTAATACTCCATCACCTTAAAAAATTTGCTGCCATCTGAAGCATCAGCATTGGGCGGCCAAGGACGAGGGAACAACCCAAGAGGCACATGAATAATATCTCCATCGACCTCTATGGAGGGCCCACTAGATGAGCAACCAGATCTCCACATCCCCAGTCCATCTTTCTGAAGCTCATGACTCAAAAGCGTGTAGAACTCGAGAGTTGGCCCCAAACCAGTCCCTACCTCACCAAAATATTCAACCTCAAGAATAGCCTTCTGACTGGAACACATCTCCATAACTTTGGCGGCCGAGTCCAATATCCGATTCCTCGAAACTCGAACCTTCTGTCTCTGTAACCTCCCGACCCTTACCTCCCTGTCGCCAGCCGAGCCATGACCCTCCGCACCTTGCTGCTGCTGGAGCCGATACAAGGCACGGGACAATCCAAAAGCAGTGGAATAGAAATACTGGCGTCGAGTTTCGAAAGGAAATAAAAAGGGGCAAGCTTTAGTCAATTGGTAGCACCAAGATGGGAGGGACCCGCTGCAAAGCGCGAGAGCATCCTGAATTTGACGGGCAAGTTTCGGAGTAAGCTTCCCGTTTATAAAATCCTCCGGTGGAACTCTGACACCTGTCGTGGTGAGCTCGTTCAGACTCGACACCTTCCCCTCAGAGAACATGTCGATTATCTGCTGTGACCTCAAACGCCGGGCAAGTTGGTTCAGCCCGTCCAATACGCGCAACAGTGCTAGTATGTTATAGGTCGGATTATTTCTTTCCAGGTCACAAGGGAGCTCTCCTTGAAGAATGCTATCCAATAAAGACACATTTTGGGTCGATGCATCAGAAGAGCCCAAATTACTAGAAGAATTGGCTTTAGTCGACTTCGATGGAGTCGTGGAGCTTACGGTCCCAAGTGAGGAGGACCTCTCAGCTTGACCATCTGCCTTTTGGTACATAATGGTGTAAATATCCGTCCAGAGCCTGCTACCATCGCTAGATACAAGATCGCTGCCAGCAAACCCATCCTCGTCATCCTCATCAGAAACAAGCTGCCTTTGAATAGCCTGATAAATGGTCAAATGTCGACTAAGTTGCCTTCCACCTGCGGTGAATATTAGCTTCGGAGAACCTTTCGAGCCAAATAAGAGGTTCCCATGCCGGTCTCGACCTCCCCTCACTCCTTTACTGTTTCCAGATGCAAGTCCAGCCATGGCAGCAGCAGCAAAGGACATTGCTCCCCTTGAACCGAACAAACTACCACCAGCAGAAGCTCTGCTGCTGGAACTACATGTGGCGTTGTTATGTCCATCACTCGAGTTGGGGACAGGAGAGTCTTCTACAGAGTCGTTCAACTTGACATCATGCACTCTGTCCGACATGCACATGGGAAGGTTATCATCTCCAAGAACCTGACAACAATGTAAATTAATTTAAATTGGCCAATGATATCTAAGAATGTATGAAGAAACTCATATTACTATCTAAATTCCCAAACACATCTTTACTACGTCTGAGTTCCACGCATTATGATAATGGAATGTGAAATTATGATTCATGTCACCACCACCCACAAATCCTCCAAACAGTCGATAGAAGATGTTACTTCATTATGCGTGGGAATCAACTGGTACCAAAGGACAGATTGATTCAAACAAAACTATCATACAATATATGCGCCACCAGCTATAAATTCAGGTATCTCTATATATCTAATCAGTAAAATGAGAAGCTTACATCATCATTTTCATCGTCGTCGTCATCATCAGACATATCATCATCTTCAATCACCAAAGCCTCATCAATTTCAACAGGTGAAATATCCAATTCATCATCCTGCAATGTCCAGAAACACATTACACAATTTAAGAAACTTCTAAAGAAGAGGTGCTCGCGAGATGAGCACCATAAGAGACTAAAGCAATAGTAATATGAAGCGGATAACATTTGATGCTAAAGGGCTCGAGAGCAGTTAACAGGTTTACTAGATCCTATCAGTCTCTACTATAGATGTATCCTCCTCACCCACCGGATGACAACACACAGTTATCCAGAACCCAGACAACCTACAGAATTTAACACAACCCAAATCAACTAGCAAATATCATCAGTCAATCGAAGGGAATACCTCAGAGCTGGTGCCCCCCTCTGCTGATTTCATCTCATTGTCTTTGTCCAGTGCTGCTCGTCTCCGGGTAGCATTCCGGGTCTGGGGGCCCCGACTCTCTTCCTGATTAGGCTTCAGAACTGCTTTCCCTTTGGCTTTTGACGAGCTCAAACTTTTCTCAAGTGACGAATATTTCTCCCCAGCATCGCCTATATTCATAGAAGATCTGGAACGAGTGGACTGACGCCTGGAGGCAGTAGCCGGAGTTGGAGCAGATGGTGAAACCTCTCCTGTCCCTGTAGCAGCAGTTCCCACCTCAGAGTTATCAGTGGATACCGAAGGAATCTGACCGGACTCACCCCTTTGAATCCTTGGCCAAAGGAAATCCTCAACAGCAGCCAAGCTCGCCAGCGGATCAATCAACACAACGTTCGACGAGTAGTCACGAAGAGATTTTTCTCCCTGGACCCGACAAAGGCGCAGCTTAAATGGCTGAGAAAGGGCGCTCAGGCCTGATGAGAGACGGGCATTGGCGCTAGACGGCCGAGATGAGTGGCTAAGCACAACAGGAAAGCGCTCTAAAGAGGACAAAGCATTCTGAAGCTTCTGAACCAAAACACTCATGGGAACTAAAGTACCTTCTCCAACGCTCGAGGGAAGAGCCACAGAAACAAAAGATCGGTACCTCCTGATTGCCTGTTCTCGAAGTTTGGGAAGATTGGAATCGGAGATTCTCTCCTTGGAGAAGTAGCCGCAGGTGAAATAGTTAAGCAGAGACGCAACAGCTCCACTACCGATGAACTCGAAAGTCGAGACCCCACCCTCGCGGCAAAATTCACGCAGCATCTCAGTTATCACCTCAACCAAATTTTCCTCCTGCCTAGCACAAATTTCACCAAGCCGGGGGCCAGAAGCTTTTGATTTTCCTTTTAATTTATTCTTCTGCTCATCTATTCCGGCATTCAGCTTTGTGCAGAGATTCTTTAAGCGGATGAGATCATCTGTGGCTCCACTCTCACTACCCTCCGCCCCTGAAGGAAAATATTTTTCCTTGAACGATTTTGCACATGCGCTGACGGTGGCACGGAGGCTAGAATTGACTGTTGGTATTTCAACTGTATTTGGCTGAGAAACAATACTTGGAATTGAGCTTTTGTCGTCAGGATTTGCATCAGAACTAGGGTTGCTGCCACGTCTACGATTTCGTCTGGACCTTGATGACCCTGGAATGGAATCATTTTCCTTCTCAAGAGGAGATGGTTGAGAACTGCTAGTAGGTCCAGTGAGTATCAATGCATCCACAGCATGAACAACACCTTCCCTTACGAACATCTTAGAGAAAGTATCAGGAAGCTTCTCCATCAAAATTTCAGCTATTTGAAGAGCAGGCACCAGAACTTGAGGATCTTTCCAGGCTAAAACACCTGCTAAGAAACTAAAATAGCCAAAACAGGGTCATGTTGCTTACTTGACCAGTACAGGAAAACAAAAAAGTTACATATTTTGCAAAATGAGGATACAGTGAAGTCATGTCACCTTGATATGTTTGTGACATTTATCAAAGATTGAATCATTTCAGACGAGCTGAAGTACATGAGCTTTCCAATAACTGAGAGACATTTATGGCGTACTGGACCATTCACACTGGAACCATAGATCTGCAAGCAAAAGTTAAAGAAAAATATAAAACAGTGCTTTCCGAGTTTCGAGATAAAATAGATGTGCTGAGATATATACTTACTTGGACCAGAACAGGAAGAAGATCCATTCCAAATTGCTGTAGAAGTTCAGGCTGATCATTCAATAGTTCTTTACGAGTTAAAACCTCTTGCATATTCCCATTTGAATCATCCGGCTTGCTAGAGGTGCCTGCATTACTCCTTTTAAAAAGCGGGCCTTTCATAAACAAACTACTGCTGACTGGAAGAGAGATTATTCCTTGAGGAAGTGGTGGAAGAAGCTCATTTGCCAGGTTCACAATCTCAAAGACCTGATGATATAAACGCATTCATAGATAAAATGGATTAAGTGTCCAAAAATACCATTTAAATCTTAATGCCTCCCCACGAAAAAAAACTAATTCACAGAAAGGCCACTGGTGAAGGTTATAAAAAACCTTCACCGGAATACAAATGAAAAAAAAAAAAAAAAAGTAAACAACAACCAGGTGAAAATCAAACGGCATATAAACTCTACTTAATGAATTAAAGCCTGGAAGAATATGCAATACCTGCTCTGGAGGTCTACTCAAAGCAGGTGAAACAGACATGCTTGACACAAGACCAGGCCCTTGTAATATTTCTTTCAGAGTCCCACTGATACCTAAGAGAAGCAAGGACTTTGCTCCCAAAGGAGAACCACTTGCACATGTGGAAAGAAGACGTATCAAACCCTGCATACAACAGTGATAGTACTCAGATAGTGCCTTCTCTCATAAACTAAAGAAGCCGGAGTTTGTGATCAATATTACCGTGTAGGTAGAAGTGCTAAGGGAAGCCTGACCCCCTCCAGCATTAGTCGAGGAAATAAGAGCAGCAGTTTGTGCAACAAGACCATGGTTGCAAAGTTCATCGAGCTTCTCAGGTGACGAGGCAAATGCCTCAGCAATCCGCGTCAAGCAAATAGATGCAGATTCCAAAACCTAAGAATCACACAAAAGAATATAAATATATTAGTTTTATCAGGTCACAAATGAAAAAGGAGAACATGCAGATGAACCGAAGTAAAATGGCTGTCAGACTACAATTCACAACGATGTAAGTCTAACCTTGGCATCAGGATACTGTAAGAGATTTGTCAACAAAGGTACAGCTTCCATAACAAAATCAGCAGCATCTGACGGTAGTTTCTTGCACATATTTGCAGCAGTTGCCAAGGCCACTCTCTAACAGACCATTAAGTGAAATTAAATTCTCTAAAATACTACAAGAGAAAACTTCCTTATGGCTAAGTGAGCAATTCAAAGAAGGAATTTAAAATTATAATATCCAGTTTTACACACCTGGACACCAGTGGGAAAGAAGTCTAGGTAAGAAAGCACCGCCATAAGAGCACCAGCCCTCAAGCAAGCAGTAGGATGTTCCTGAGATATCTTCTTCAGTGCTTGCAGAGACTGTTTCATCACCCAAATAAATCAGAACTCCACAATAATAAGAAATAACAAAACGATATTACTATTCTATAAATAATCTCCTACATCAAATTGTAACAGCATATTATTTGTTCCTCAGCACTACTAATAAAGTTCACCTGTTCAGCCAAGTCCATGTACTCTATAGTCAGCAGCCTAGCAACAAAGCAGGAGACAGAACCATAATGCACCACAGCAGCACAAGACGATGGCAACACATCAACCAGGTGCGTGAGTGCCCTTGCAGCCAAGAGCATTATATCAGGATTACTCTCGTGATTGAGCAATCCCACCAAAACCGGCACAAAAGAATCCACCGAAAAGGTACTCAGAGAGTCCTCGGTCCCTATCGAGAGCATCTCACAAAGCTGCGTGAGCGCCTCAACTTGCTTCCCTTCCTCTCCATCAGCTCTCAAACCCGACAAAATCTTTTTCAGCCGCCCGCTTTGGTGAGAAGACGAAGCCGAGCCTATGGCTGCGCTCGGCAGCAAATCATCCAGCCCGGCACCAAGCTTCCTGAGCAGTCCCTGAAGAGCACTGCTTGCCGAGGTCAAATTCGGGTGCAACACACCAACTCCACCTTCAGAGTCATTATCATCATCTTCATCCCCGCCATGCGAGTCAATGTTGAGCCCCACATTCCTCTCCATTTCTCGCTGCCTGATCTCGGGTTCTTTCTCCTTGCCCTTATCGGCGATCGAATTGCTGCCTTCCCAATTCTGATTGCTATTAGGGTTTTTGCCACGTCGGCTGCGTGTGGTGGAGCCAGAGGCGGCAGAGGGTTCTGAGCTAGGGTCCATTGAAGCAGATCGGGCGGCTGACCTTGAGCGAGTGGAAACCGAAGGGGAGGCAGAGGCTGGGGCAATGAATGCAGTCGATAAACGAGCGCGTTTGGGGGTACGTGTGGCTGGGCCAGATAACGATGCTGAGGTGGATGCCTCGGCCCGCTTCCGGCTCCGAGTTTCCATACAATAGCCCTACAAAACCTACAGACCAACTCGCCGATCAATCGGCTATCAGCTTCCCCACCGATCCCCAAATTGTTACCATCTCGAGACCTGAAAGGAACAATCTTTAGACAATTCAAGCTGAATCGAAAACCCAAATTCAACGAACTGGTGAATTTTACGGATTGCTAGAAAAAAGCTCAAATATCAATTGCCGATTCAAGCTGAATCAGAAAGCGAAATCCAACGAATTGAAAAATTATTAACCCAATTTAGAAGATTTAAAAAAAAAAAGGTCAAAGATCAATTACCAATTGAAACCGCCGGCGGTTAATCGAGCGACCGAGCAATCGACTGGCGAAAAATCAAGAAAATCGACAGCTAATGTGAGAGGGAGATGAAGGAGAAAATTGGGAAATGAGCTGATTTAAGGAGTGATGATGATACAAATTCGAAATAAAATAAGAAAGGAAACCCTAATCGCGTGGTTTCGATATTTTAGAGTAATTTTTCTTTATTTTCGTCCTTTTTGTCAGTATAGAAAATAAGATCTCATGTACGTAAATGAGATTATATTACGGGGGATTAGAATTTATATGAGGCGGTGGCCGATTTTTCTCCGGACGTTGCTTTTTGTCATTTAATGATTTTTTTATTAATTTTTTATTTTATTATTTGATCAGTAAATATAAATTTATAGATCAAAAACTGGGGTACGAATTATCGAAAGTTGGCATACAAAAGTACAATGGACAGCCACAAGCTCGAATTCTCAGTGTTTTGTAATTTGCATAAACAATGAAATATCCCCCTTATATATTAATTCAGAACGTGTTGAGCCTATCTGGCAGGCTCGCATCCTTCGAGATCCTATGTGGCAAAATTACATGCTTCGTTGTTAGACTTTGATAGATTTAATTTACTTCTAATCCAAAAATATTTAGGTTCGGATTATCTATAAATATGTTGATTATTTATGGTAAGGGTGGGCACGGTCGGGACGGTCCTGGATTTGACTTGTCCGGATACCCATCCCACTTTTATGAATCGGACCGTCCCTACCCATGTAATACATGGATGTTGTACTAGTTTAAATTTAATTACGAACGAACGGTCTAAGAGGACAAACGAGGTGTGTTTTGTAATTTGCATAAACAATGGAAATATTTAAATTTAATTACTTGTTGTGAATTTTACAAAATTACTAAATATTATCAAATGAAGTTAGGACTATATACGAATCGAAATTTGAGTTTAAGATACTCGAGCTCATGAGAATCGACTCCAAACTCATTCTTCTATTGAATTAAAACTTACATCAACTTTCTGAATACATGAATTTATAAATAGATTTGAGTTCAACTCGTTTATAAATACTAACGAGTTGAATCTATGCTTTAACGAATTAAGCTAATATAAATTTAAGAAAAAATGCAAAAACTTTTGCTCTCGAGTTTTAAACGAGATCTAGCTCGAGCTAGCCGGCTCGTTTAAGCGCACTCGAGCCTTAACAACTAGTCGAGTCGAACGAACTCAAACTTTAATTAGCAGTAAAACGTATTTTACCTATAAATCGTTTTGTTTAACTGTTCTAGAGGTAGGTAGATAACAAATAGAAGGCTCCCTTAAGCCACGATGTGATGTTTTTTTTAAATTATAAAATAATTTTCTCAATTTATGTTCTATTTTTCTCATTCATTATTAAATCAAATCAATTCACTGTTGTTGTTTTCATCCTCAAACGGGCTGAGCTGCACAATCCTATCCATGCATGTAACAAAAAAAAATGAAGTAGGCCAGTTTGAGTCCGTCAACTAGCAGGCCCGAATCCATTAATCTTGCAGCCCTCTAATTTTTAAGCCCATCGTGTAGCAGGCCTCGGAAATTCAAGTAGCCCCAACTTTATTTTTGAAACAATCTAAAATTCTCTCTTTTACCATGAAACCAGCAATAATTTGTAACTAAGCAGCCAAAGATATTTTTCTTTACAGCCATAAATAGGTCCAACTAGGACTGCAAACGAGCCGAGCATTGGCCTTATCAAGCTGGTATTTTTTTAGCTGCTCAAGCTTGATTAGTGAGGCTCGACTCGATAAAAAGTACAATCGCTCGAGCTCGACTCGAAATAAAAATGTTCAAACTCGACTCGAAATTTTTTAAGTGGACAAATAAAATTACCATTAAGCACTTATGTTGTACTACTGTAACATATATATAAGGTATTTTAGTAATTCAACATATATCTCGAACCGCTCGACAATGCAAAATATGAGTCGAGCTCGACTCGAGCTCGGTCAAATTCGAGCTCGAGTCGCGCTTTGACTCGAGCGCTCGCAAGCTGCTCGGTTCGTTTGCAGCCTTAGGTCCAACTAATAGCTCACTGAATGTAAAAGAGGCTACATAGAATGCATAATTGGATGTTATATGGAAGTTTTAAACACCGAATACATAAATGTTTCAACAAACAACCGAATCATCCTTCTTGAAGTCACGAATCATAACAAGATAAAAAGATCCTTACTAGAAAACAACTCGGCATAAACGACATGAAACTGCAATCCTTAAATTGAAGCATTGAAAAANAATCAGATGTATTTAAGCGTCCCTTGTTGAAGGGGCCTTCTTGGCAGCCTCAGCAGCCGCTTTCTCAGCTTCAATATCGGCAACAATGGCATCGATCTCAGCTTCTTCAAGCTGTTGCAAACCGTCTTCTTTAGTCATCACAGCAACTTCAATGTTCTTCCCTCCACTCTCCACAACCTTCATAAGCATCAAATACAGATTATTTATCGCCATTAGAAAAAAAAAATGCTATTTTTATCTGGAGGTGTCTTAAGAACCCAGGTATTGATCTGTATCGAATCTTTCTACATAGGCTTATGTTTTCACACCATACGATCACGGTTAACGTTTTTTACATTACCTGATGAACTAGTGTACTAATGCAAAAGGCAATGTTATATCTACTTGCTAAGGGTATGATTGGATATGAATCCAACCAGTCATGATACAATTGGTTGGTTAAAGACTTAAAGTCGGTTATTTTGAATAAAGTTGATTGAGTTGATGATTTTGAGTTTGCAATTAAATAAAATGTAAAATGCAATGATTAAAGTTGATGTGATATAAAAGTAGGAGAAGTAGGAGAGATATTATTGAGAGTGATAGGTAGTTAAAGTAATGTGAGTGGATAAATAGTGAATTGAAGTAATGATTGATTGGTGTTTTTTAATTATATTTATAAGAAGTATGAGAGTTGCATTGAGTTGGATTTTAAGTGTGGTGATTGGGAAGGAAAAAAAAAATGATCCGTCAAAACCGATTAAAACCAGTTATGATCCATATCCAATCACGCCATTTGAAGCAGATGAGCTTAATTGATCTAAACATCAATCATTCCTGCACACTTGCAGTATAGCTAACAAGGAACACACTAGTGACTATCTGCCATTAAACAATATTTACCCAAAGCCGAATATATCTCCATGTTTATGCAGTGTTATGACTTATGATTGAGAGACTTCTGATTTAGAGATAGCACCATACATAATTCTAGTTCCATTCATTACGATCACTCAATTATTTTCACTAAGAGTCAAATGAATAGATGCCACTTAATATCTACCCTAGGCTATAAACGAGCTGAGTCGAGCTCCAGCTTGAGCTCGAGCCCTTAACGAGTCGAACCGAGCTCGATCGTTAAATAAACGAGTCATAAACCGAGCTCGAGCTCAGTTCATTTATCACTATTGACGAGTCGAGTTTGAGCCTTAACGAGCCGATCTCGAGCATTAACGAGCAGAACTATAAAAAAAATTATATAAAAAATCTCTTTTCAAGCTTTAACGAGCCGAGCGAACCAGACTCATTTAATTTAACAGCACTAATCTACCCAAATGAATTACTATAATACTCTCAAGTTAGAAAGGATAGCAAATGAACAAGTCAAGATATAAATACACATAAAAAGAAAGCATCAGTCAGCATTCTTTTTCAGAATTGAGGATTTCGAATAACAGAACCTGAAGCACCAAGTTCACAGGCACATGTAAAATCACTAATATAGTAATATTTACCTCCAGCAAAGCCCGAATAGCTAACTTGACGGTCTCCTCGCCAGATGTCTCCTTGTAATTCTTCTCCAGAAACTCTCTGATAGAGTTTGAGTTTCTTCCAGTAGCATTTGCTTTCCATGCGGAGAATGTGCCTGATGGGTCCGTCTGGTAAAGTGATGGAGTGCCAGTGTGCGGGTCAAACCCAATGATCAAGGTTGAGAGCCCAAAAGGCCTCACACCACCACTTTGTGTGTACTTCTGCTGAAGCCCAGCAATGTAGCGTGTTATGTATTCCACAGTCACAGGGTCCTCAATCGTGAGCTTATGGCTCTGGCACTCAATGCGTGCCCTGTTTATCAAGACACGTGCATCGGCTTTCAGGCCAGCACAGGCCAAGGCTATGTGATCATCTAAATTGACAATCTTCCTCACTGATCTGCAAGGCACACAAGGAGAATTGGTATTTACTGCAAAAGGCTTTAACCAGAAGACAAAGGAAAAAAGCAAGCTAGCAGCATGTACCTAATAAATTCATATCAATACAAAGAGTATGAGCATCGTCTAAAGAAGCTTGTCCTAATTTCAGAAAAAGCATCAATGGTTAACAAGTCTATACTAAATAACTGTATCCACGTAAACATTCCTATGTACAGGAAGGCGCTATTTTTCTGTATCATGACATAGGGCTAGTCAAAGCATCTGGAGACCCAAGTATCAAACTAGGGTCTTTAAACTCTACTTGCATTAACGATTATCAAAGATAGCAATTGGAGCCAAAAACTCCAAGTTCGACTCTAAAGGTGAACGATATCAAAAGCAATACAATGGTCAGTGGTTTATGTGTAAACGTTAAGCAAGTCAGCAAATTTATGTAGTATTCTTGGTACCATGTTGGAAAACTGTAGCTGTCCAAACATTTTTGGAAATGAAAAAGAAAAAAAAAAAAAAACACTACTGAAGTCCTGATGTTGCAAAAACAACGTTGACACTTTAAACTTTAAGCTAAATATAAGCTTCAGATCAATTCCGATTTCCCCTCATTCGCAGGCAATCCCCACATAAAGGTTCTAATCTATACAACTAAATGATGACTCAACCCACATCCCACAACAGTAAAACCATAAAAAAGTATCACATTCTGCAATAAATTGAGACATCAGGAGCAACAATTATACTACGAAACATATTTCAGATGACAAATATCAGAAATTCAAACACTGAATCTTCAGTACTACAATTAACTTTAAATCTCTCTGTGGTAAAAGTTAATACATCTCACTATAACAACCCTTGAACCCTAGCCACATTCCAAAGCTCATCTAAACCTCCCACAAGAAATCATCAGAGTTGAGACAGTTACAACTCTCGACTCTAACAACCCTTAAACCCTAGGCACATTCCACAGCTCATTTAAACCCCCACAACAAATCATCAGAGTTAAGACAACTACACCTCTCGATTCCAGAATGTGTGTGCGTGCGTGCGTGAGAGAGAGAAAGAGATGAGCAAACCTAGAATCTTGCAGCTTAGGGGTGGACTTTTTCTCGACGGCGAGCACGATGGTGTCGGTGCCACGAACTCCGACGGCGGCGTTCCCCTTGCGCACAGCTTCGAGAGCGTACTCGACCTGGAAAAGGTGGCCGTCCGGTGAGAAAACAGTGATTGCGCGATCGTATCGTGCCATAACTCAGTCTCTGCTCTATGGAATTTCGTAAGCTTTTGAGGAGCTTCGATCTGCTACTGATTTGCCCCTTTTCTTTTCTTCTCTTTATATTGTTCTTAATTCTCGAAGCTCACAAAATGAATTGATGTGCAGACGAGGAAAGTTATGTAGAAGGGGACTTGTTCGACAAGACAAGCCTACACGCCTTTATGAAGTCGCATTCATAAAGTGTTTGCACAACGCGATTTTTTCATATTTTACAGTTTGAACTTGCTACATAGTGAACACATGTTCATTAACATTGGATCAACTCAAAGTTATATGAGTATACATATAAGTTTGTGTAAATTAATGATAATAAACTATGTGTGAATAAGTTGAATTGAGTTTACTATAAAATTACACAATCCAAGCAACAATTACCAACCTCTTTGAATAATATTATTGGTGTAGTCAAATTGTTTGAGTTATACACTATTGCGTAATTTTGGTTATTGAGATAAGTTTGATTTTCCCTTATAAAGTATGTGTTTCGTAGAGATTAACTATAAAACTTTGATAGTACTTATCCGACATTAATGGATTTGCAACATAATTGAGAGTGCCTGAAATTTCAGTTTTTTCACAAAAACATGTATAGGGCGCGAACGAAACGAGTCGAATCGAAATTTCAAACTTAGGTTTATTGGAAAATTAACAAAATCAACCTAGTTGAACCTTTAGAAGAGTGTAAAAACTAAAAACATATTGACTGGAGCTTTTGTTGACTTACTTTGTAGGCTTGTGCAACTTAATGAGCTCTTTTCTTGGTAAGTTTAGTTTGAAACTTGAGCAGTGAAACATAATGAGACTATAATGGCAAGAGTAAAGTTATTCTGATATAATGGGATGATGATGGATGATAAAAAGTGATGTGGATATATAATGATATGTTGATTTTAAAGGTGATAGAGATATATCAAATATACCCAGTTTAGGTGATTGGTCTTCTTGGACTCCTCCTGACGTCCTCATTTTGAGACATGTAAAGCGCCTAGGAGGTTCGTGACATAGAAACTCGGATGATCAAGTTAGTCTCTCATATTTCTATCATTCGGATAATATATTATTTGCATAATAATAATCGAGTTTTTTATGATGACCATACCACTTCTCTTATATGGAATAGTTATGATGTCCTTCAAAACTCACGGGTGAAGAAAAAAAAAATGATATTGTCTTGGAGAATATATATATATATATATATATATATTTATTCAGATAGAACTACGATTGTATATAAAACTTTTTTGATTATTTTATTAACCGATTTATATAACGAATTTCATTCATCCCATAGTCGGGAACTTAATGATTGTATAATAGATTACTCCACTGGAGTCCAATGTGATTCCAAATGCATAAATTGAAATTTAAAATAGTTCAAAACGTGTTGCAGAATGAACTATAAAACTGTTACGATGTCACTCTAGTCACTAGCCCTGCCTTCGGCATTCTCCAGTGCATAAAAATAAAACAGCAAAATCCAATCCAACTTATCGTAATCCATTAGTTAACATGTTGGTTAACTGTATTCAGCCGTGGTGACTTCGATTTGCTAGAGAAATCAATAATTCAACCTCTAACTTAAATATAATCCCAATTTAGGATGAGCCAAGTACGTGTTGAGCTTCAATGGCTGAATATTTTAAATTTGATTTTGTTAACCAAGCTGAGTTTCCATTCACATTTTAGGTAAATTGATGAGTTTCACATAAGACTAGTAATCAACTTGTGCATTTGCACATAAAAGAATACTTTATAAGATAACAATATAAAAAAACAAAAATAAATCATAATTTAATTCATGAAAAATAATATGAATTAAGAAAATAATTCTCAAAATTGATTTTGATCAAGTAATTGATATGGAAGAGCCGTTACAACCATTTTCTTTATGCTAAATTATCCGGTCATTTTCATGATTGTTGTGACTTAAAATTTGAGTATAGTTTTGTAACTCCCTTGATTGATTTATGTTCATAATTTAGGCCAGGGGCGGATCTAGCTCATGAAATGAGTGGTGGCCTACTTATTTTTGGAAGATAAATATAATACATCATAACAAAGTTTAAATACAATAATACACATTCATAGTAATTCTTATAAGTTTTCATAGCTTGGTATGACTCTACAATATGGTATTTACATTTTCTTTCAGCACAACAATATTAAAATTAACCTCAAGTATATTTGGACTAAAAGTAACTAATTTGAAATATTTTTCAAATGCACTTTTTTGTCAAGACTATTTATAAACATATTTCTCCATATAAAAATAAATTACGATATATAATATGCTTTATCTAATTTATCTAACTTTGAAGAGCCCTAAAATTTAAGTTATCAATCACACACAAATTTAAATATGTGAACATAGTCTTCTAAGAAACGACACTCAAATAACTACAAGTTTAAATATTTATACCAAATCTAATAAAAAGAAGGACTAGATTTTTTTTCGAAACGATAAAAATTTTATAGAAAAAAAACACATAATTACAAACTAGAGAACAACCCGAAAACTGAATAAGACATCTTCTGAGCCGAATCTAGCGAGTGGACTAGATTTACTTTTACCAAAATCAACAAGAAGAGTGATTTATTTTCTCTATTTTTTATTTATTTTTTTCTTCTTTGTGCTCTCACAAGTATTGTTTCTTATTCTTTATTCTTTTATTAATAGACTATAAAACTTGTTTTGAATAAGATATATAAAATGTATTTTATTTTATTTTTTTTTTTAATTCAGGGTGGGCTTAGGCCTACACTGGCATCAATAAGGCTACGCCCCTGATTTAGGCATTCAAGCAAGTTATTTTGTAACTTAAAAATGAAACTGAATGCTGAAAATTTTGGAGGAGAACAAAATTTAATGCATGAGAATAATAAAATTAAATG